GAATAGCAGGGAGAAGTCACTGATAGGTGTGGTCTATAGGCCACCAAATAATGACATTGTGGTGGGGCAGGCAATAAACATAGAAATAGTTAATGCATGTAAAAATGTTACAGCAATTATCATGGGGGATTTTAATCTACATATCGATTGGTCAAACCAGGTCGGTCATGGCAGCCTTGAGGAGAGGTTCATAGATTGCATCCGCGATAATTTCCTTGAACAATATGTAATGGAACCTACGAGGGAGCAAGTATCCTAGATCTAGTCCTGTGTAATGAGACAGGAATACTTAATGATCTCACAGTTAGGGATCCTCTCGGAAGGAGCGATCACAGTATGGTTGAATTTAAAATACAGATGGAGCATGAGAAGGTTAAATCCAGTACCTATGTCCTGTGCTTAAACAAAGGAGACTATGAAGGAATGAAGGAGGAGTTAGCTAAGGTAGAATAAGAGCAAGAACTTTATGCTGGATCAATTGAGGAACAGTGGAGGACTTTCAAAATGATTTTTCACAGTGCTCAGCAGAAGTATATTCCAGTGATAAGGAAGAACTGTAGGAAAAGAGAGAAGTCCAAGGAAATAAAGGAAAGTATCAGATTGAAAAAAAAACATATACAAAAAAGCAAAGAGTAGTGGGAAACTAGTAGAGTGGGAAATCTTTAAAGGCCAACAGAAAGCCACAAAAAAGTTATAAAGAAAAGTAAGATAGATTATGAGAGTAAACTAGCTCATAATATAAAAACAGGCAGCAAAAGTTTCTATAAATACGTAAATCTTAAAAGAGTGGCGAAGGTAAACATTGGTCCTTTAGAAGATGAGAAGGCCAATTTAATAACTGGGAATGAGGAAATAGCCGAGACATTAAACAGTTATTTTGTGTCCGTCTTCACAGTGGAAGAAACAAATAACATGCCGAAAACTGATGGCAAGAAGGTTATAGCAGGTGAGGACCTAGAAACTATCATTATCACTAAGGAGGCAGTGCTGGGCAAGCTAATGGGGCTAAAGGTAGACAAGTCTCCTGGCCCTGATGAAATGCATCCCAGGGTACTAAAAGAGGTGATGGGGGAAATAGCAAATGCACTAGTAATTATTTACCAAAATTCACTGGACTCTGGGGTGGTTCCCGCAGATTGGAAAATAGCCAATGATGTTTAAAAAAGGAAGTAGACAAAAAGCAGGTAACTATAGGCCAATTAGCTTAACTTCGGTAGTGGGGAAAATGCTTAAATCTATCATTAAGGAAGAAATAGCAAGACAACTGGATATAAATTGTCCCATTGGGAACACCCAGCATGGGTTCATGAAGGGTAGGTCATGTTTAACTAATTTGGTGGAATTCTTTGAGGACATTACTTGCACGGTGGACAATGGGGAACCTCTGGATCTGAATTTCCAGAAGGCATTTGACAAGGTGCCACACCAAAGGCTGCTATATAAGATAAAGTTGCACGGTATTACAGTAATGTATTGGCATGGATAGAGGATTGGTTGACCAGTAGAAAGCAAAGAGTAGGGGTAAATGGGTATTTTTCTGGTTGGCGGTCAGTGGCTAGTGGTGTGCCTCAGGGATCAGTGTTGGGACCGCAACTGTTTACAATTTACATAGATGATTTGGAGTTGGGGACTAAGTGTGGTATGTCAAAATTTGCAGATGACACTAAGGTGAGTGGTAGAGCAAAGTGTGCAGAAGACACTGAAAGTCTGCAGAGGGATATAGATAGTCTAAGTGAGTGGGCAAAGGTCTGGCAGATGGAGTACAATGTTGATAAGTGTGAGGTCATCCATTTTGGTAGGAATAACAGCAAAATGGACTATGTTTTAAATGGTGAAAAATTGCAGCACGCTGCTGTGCAGATGGACTTGGGTTTCCTTGTGCATGAATCGCTAAAAGTAGGATTGCAGGTGCAGCAGGTAATTAAAAAGACAAATGGAATTTTGTCTGTCACTGCTAGAGGGATGGAGTTTAAAAATAGGGAGGCTATGCTGCAGCTGTATAGGGTCCTGGTGAGGCCACACCTGGAGTACTGTGTGCAGTTTTGGTCTCCTTACTTGAGAAAGGATATACTAACACTGGAGGGGGTGCAGAGGTGATTCACTCGGTTGATTCCAGAGTTGAGAGGGTTGGATTATGAGGAGAGACTGAGTAGACTGGGATTATACTCATTGGAATTCAGAAGAATAAGGGGAGATCTTATAGAAACATATAAGATTATGAAGGGAATAGATAAGTGGAGGCAGGGAAGTTGTTTCTGCTCGCAGGTGAAACTAGGACTAGAGGGCATCGCCTCAAAATAAAGAGAAGCAGATGTAGGACTGAGGTCAGGAGGAACTTCTTCACCCAAAGGGTTGTGAATCTGTGGAATTCCCTGCCCAGTGAAGCGGTTGAAGCTACCTCGCTGAATGTTTTTAAGGCAAGGCTAGATAAATTTTTGAACAGTAAAGGAATTAAGGGTTATGGTGAGTGGGCGGGTAAGTGGAGCTGAGTCTCAAAAAGCCATGATCTTATTAAATGGCGGGGCAGGCTCGAGGGGCCAGATGGCCTACTCCTGCTCCTAGTTCTTATGTTACGTTCTGAACTTATCAGCCATGATTGAATGGCGGAGCAGACTCGATGGGCCAAATGGCCTAATTTATGCTCTGATGTCTTACGTTCTTATTTGGATCTTATTATGATCTTATTATCTTATTATGGTCTTATTTGCTGAAGTATCTAAGAGGGTGGAGAGCTAGGCAACAGAAACCAGAGAATAGTATTGAATAGTTGCTCATCATTTTGGAGGGGAGTGTGCAGTAAGGTCTCCCCTAGAGATGGTTTTCTGGCTGCTGCTTGTTTTGGACAGACAGGGTTAGGGTTAGGATAATGACCTAAACGTAGGTATGAATGGGAGAGAGTTTGAAGATGGCACGAGACCGAGTAAGGCGATTAGTTACAGACTTAGGCAGAAACGGAGACAAGACTGGTGAAGAAAATCTTCAGACTCGAGGCAAGAGATAGTAGGAACTGCCGATGCTGGAGAATCTGAGATAACAAGGTGTAGAGCTGGATGAACACAGCAGGCCAAGCAGCATCAGAGGAGCAGGAAGGCTGATGTTTCGGGTCTGGACCCTTCTTCAGAAATGGGGGAGGGGAAGGGGATTCTGAAATAAATAGGGAGAGAGGGGGAGGCAGATGGAAGATGGATAATAGGGGCAGGTAGGTGGAGAGCAGACGAACAGGTCAAGGAGGTGGGGATGGAGACAGTAAAAGTGAGTGTAAGTGGGGAGTTAGGGTGGGAATTGGTGAGTCCAGGGAAGACGGATAGGTCAAGGAGGCAGGATGAGGCTGGTCAGTAGGAGGTGGGGGGGGGGGGGTGGGAGGAGTGGATCGGTGGGAAGAAGGACGGATGGGTTAGGGAGGCGGGGACAAGCTGGGCTGGTTCTGGGATGCGGTCGGGGGCGGGGAGATTTTGAAGCTTGTGAGGTCCACATTGATACCATTGGGCTGCAGGGTTCCCAAGCGGAATATGAGGTGCAGTTCCTGCAACCTTCGGGTAGCATCGTTGTGGCACTGCAGGAGGCCCAGGATGGATATGTCATCTGAGGAATGGGAGGTGCAGTTGTTTAGTGCGAACCGAGCGTAGGTGTTCTGCAAAGCTGTCCCCAAGCCTCTGCTTGGTTTCCCCGATGTAGAGGAGGCCACATCTGGAACCACATTAGCAGATGTGCAAGTGAACATCTGTTTAATGTGGAAGTTGTTCTTGGGGCCTGGGATGGGGGTGAGGGGGGAGGTGTGGGGGTGGGTGTAGCACTTCCTGTGGTTGTAGGGAAAAGTGCTGGGGGTGGTGGGGCTGGTGGGGAGTGTGGAGCGGACAAGGGAGTCACGGAGAGACTGGTACCTTCGGAAGGCAGATAAGGATGGGGAGGGAAAAATGTCTTTGGTAGTGGGGTCGGATTGTAGGTGGCGGAAGTGCCGGAGGATGATGCGTTGGATCCGGAGGTTGGTGGGGTGGTATGTGAGGATGAGGGGGATTCTGTTTTTGTTGTTATTGCAGGGAGGGTGTATGAGGGATGAGTTGCGGGAAGCGTGAGAGATGTGGTTGAGGGCATTTTCGACCACTGTGGAGGGGAAGTTGCAGTCCTTGAAAAACGAGGACATCTGGGATGTCGGGGAGTGGAATGCCTTATCTTGGGAGCAGATGCAGTGGAGGCGAAGGAATTGGGAATAAGGGATGGCATTTTTACAGGAAGGTGGGTGAAAGGAGGTGTATTCTAGGTAGTTGTGGGAGTCCGTAGGCTTGAAATGGATATCAGTTTCCAGGTGGTTGCCAGAGATGGAAATAGAGAGGTCCAGGAAGGACGGAGAGGCATCGGAGATGGTCCAGGTGAACTTAATGTTGGGGTGGAAGGTGTTAGTGAAGTGGATGAACTGTTCGAGCTCCTCGTGGGAGCACGAGGTGGCGCTGATACAGTCATCGATGTAACAGAGGAAGAGGTGGGGTTTAGGGCCGGTGTAGGTACGGAAGAGGGATTGTTCCACGTAACCTACAAAGAGGCAGGCATAGCTTGGGCCTATGCGGGTACCCATGGCCACCCCCTTTTGTCTGTAGGAAGTGGGAGGAAATTGAAGGAGAAGTTGTTAAGGGTGAGGACGAGTTCAGCTAAGCGGACAAGGGTGTCAGTGGAGGGGGACTGGCCGGGCCTGCGGGACAGGAAGAAACGGAGAGCCTTTAGGCCATCTGCATGGGTGTGTTTCTTGTCCTCCAATCGGAAATCTTAAGTGGCAAATAAGAACATTGCATCAAAGGAAACAGGAGCAGGAGGAGGCCATTCGTCCCCTTGAGATAGTTCTGCCATTGAGTACGATCATGTTTGTGGCCTTACCCTGAGAGAAATCAGACTTACAGCGACATGGCAAAAATCAGCAAAAGCACAATAGGATTCTTCCCTTAACTTTCAGGGGGAAAGAAGCCATGTATGATCAAGAAACTAAAAAAAAACAGTTGGAATTAATCTACCTGAAAAATATAAAGCGATGATGAGATTCTTCCACAAGCACCTGATCAAGTCTGTTTTCAAAGAAGTCCTCTTTGTCCACTACCAGGAGCTCAGTGTCGTCCACACAGACAGCCGTGAAATTTCTTCGCAGGCCCTTTAACACTGGTATTTCCTACAAGAGATACGCAGTTCAACAACAACTTATGTTTGCGTAGCGTCGTAATGAAACATTTCAAAGTGCTTCACCTGAGCATGGAGAAACAAAGTGTGACACTGGACTACACAAAGAGATATTTGGGTCGGGTGACCAAAGAGGCCTTTTTTAAGGAGTGTTTTAAAGGGCAAAGGCGATGCCAGAGCGTGGCCCCAGACAACCAATGGAGCAGCGACAATGACTGGGACGGCCGGAGTGTGGATTTCCGTGAACCTTAGGGCTCTGTAAGGGCAAGGCCCCGAAGGGGCTGGGAATTTTACGATCAAACTGATGCTTGTCCCCTGAGTAGGCACACGAGGCATTCATAAAGTGCTCAAGGGTGTCAGTCCAACGGAAGTCAATCGCCAATGTTCAGAATTTTACATCTAGTGATATCGCTAATGCAATCATTTTCATAAGCACATAACCAGGGAATTCTTTTTATTTCAACCATATTCACATTCAAATATTCAGAGATTGTCTATCTTGGCCTCACTCGTAATCGCACATCCAGTGAATTCCCCATCACTGACACACTCAGGATCACCTATACAGTGATTTCCCTATCACTGACACACTCAGGATCACATATACAGTGAATTCCCCATCACTGACACTCTCAGG